CTTTTTTTTAAAAAGTACTTTAAACTGTATAAATAATGTAAAATTAAATTGATTTGAACAGCCAATCATACGAAAGTCTGCCTATGACCTATACCCCATGTGTATAATACTGGTATTATACCAGTAGTATAATACGGTATAGGTTGCAACCCTAGTCATATAATTATTTATTTAGATTTTTGAAATTTTAAAATTGTTTTTTAAGATTATAACCGATCACAATAAGTTGAGCCGTTTACGTCTCGGCTACGTTCCTACTAACAAAGTACCGGTTCTAAAAGTACTCGAGGTGGATAATGCAGAGGTCACGAGTATTTCGACAAAATGGTGATGTAAACGACTAGCTCGACTCGATTAATGTCTCGCTACGTATAACAGAGCCAAACTATTTTCAAGCCAAGCCTTATTAGCAACGCCGTTAGCTTGCGATTATCGTAATTATGCATACAAATATGTAATTAATAATTTTTGCAATATCGATTTGTAAAAAACATATACTGTAAATGAAATACGTAGCATTTCGCATTTTGTATTACCGGTAGTATCATACACTTTATAAAATTTATAAAAAGCTCTAAACTTAATAAATTTAAAAAATGCTGTAACCCGTCGCTTCGCTTACGATATTGAAAACTAGCTTTAACAATAGAATTACCTATTATTATTATTATTATTTCGTGAAATGGAATAACATACTGTATACCTGAAACAAGTTGTTAGCTAACATAACTTTTAGTAAGTCGGTCACATGGCACTAGTTTTAAATTATGACCGAACACCATTATAATATAAGGGCGTGCCCAAGGTACAATAAGAAAGGGATGCTTTGGGTCGAAGCATGCCCAAACAATTTCCCGTGCCATTTACCTCTTTACGAAACGAAACGAAACGCCTTCGACCATAAATAAAAGATTTATAATAGTATAGCCAATCAAAGTCATGGATCTAAGAATCATCGTCCCTGATTTTGAGCATACCCTAAAATTTTCCAGTTCTCCAACCCTCAATATTGATATATAAAAAAAATTTCATTGACATCTGAAATAACCAAAAATATCATGTGATGTCATCTATCTACATAGAAGTAGTTTTATAAAGGTAAAAAATACAACTTAATTTTTAATCAAAAAAACTTGTGCTATTTGATATAAATTAACAAAGGTATAGGTTTCAATTTTTCAACTTAGTATTTATATAATTATTAAAACTCTAGACATATTTAATATAGATTATACTGTATATTACTGTATAAATTTTATAATAAATTATAAAAAAATACAAACTTTAAAAAGCTATATTATAAAATTTTATTAATACAACTACTTTTATATTTTAAGTAAAAAATGATTCTAATTTTTGGCCATGCAAAATTAATTGGTTTTTATAACCCGACCAGGTCAAAATTTGAGAACTTTAAAAAAAATTTTTTATAATAATTGATAACTAAATAAATAATTAAAAACTAACCCAATTTTTTTATTAATATAATTTTCAAATAGCCAGACCTCTCTATAGTTACACCCCATATAGTCACACCTTTATTTAAGCACCCAATATTGTGTGACAGACTTAAAACATAGTAAAAAACCTCATTATAATCACAAATCACTTATAATCACTATCACCATAAAAATTTGATTTTTAACAATTTTATTAATAATACTGTAAACTCTCATTATAATCAATTTTTAACTCAATATGGATTATAAAATCTGATTGGCCAATATTCATATTCATATATATTTAAAATTATCTATTAAAACTTCTTAAAGGTTTGATGGCAAATAACTTTTGTTCTAATAACCCGATTTTGATCAAACAATTACAAAAATGTTTGTCTCAATAAGATGATTCAAATGAGCTTAAAATCTTTAAAATCTAATTACAAGTTCTCGAGATTGTTAAGAATTTGTGTCACTTCATATGCTTAAAAATTGATTAAATTCAAACATCTGAGTGAAAAATTCTTAGTGATCTTGGGTTTTGTGACTAGATTTGAACGATTATAGACTCATTAGAATTGTCTCATTGAGACAAGAACTTTGGCAGTCATTTCATTCAAGTTGAGCTACTGGATCAAAGTTATTCACTATTAAATATTTTAAATTTTTCAATAGTATTTCAATATGTTATAACTATATATTATATTAAACACTCATTGGCCTATAGATATATAACTATAAAAGGTATTTTATTTATAGTCATACCTCTATACAAGCACCACAATAGAGTGCAACCAACTTGGTGACTATATAAAGGTCTGACTGTATAATTTTCAATTTCTTTAACTTTTTTAACTTTTTTAATATAACCTCTTACTTCTTTAACACTACTTTTTACTTCTTTAAATATATATTGTATATATTGTAAAAAGTTTTCTTTTATTTGTTAAAATTATTATTTTTTTTATAAAATATAGCTTAGTATTTTATTATTTTTTTTACTTTTATACTGAATTTATAAAGTATGATATTTCTTCTTTAAAATAATTTTTACAAATATGATTTATTATTATATTTTAGTTTTAATAAGGTTATATACTATTATTATCTTAAATACAGTAGTTTGTCTTTTACTAGTAAAGTAAAGTATATACTTTATTTTTTACTCTGTACAGTATATACTTATAAAATATATTATTGCACTAGATAATTTTATTAATTTGCTATAGTAAAATTCTAGTAAAAAGGCTAAAATATTATAATACTATGATGATAATATATAAGTAAAATTATTTACAGGTTTTTTTTTTTTTATCATCTACTATATTTAACATTTACAAACTTTTAATAATATTTTTGCATCTTTTTTTTTATATAAATAATAAAAATATAATAATAATAATAATAATAAAGTAGGGATTTGGCTTACCCCCTCCAAAAAATCAGCATTGTTTATATTCCAAATTCAGATAGCCTATTAGACTGCAACTATGTATTTTATGAATACAACGCATCTATACAGGATCAGGCCCTAGATAAGAAACCCCTAATAAGGAAGAAGATACTCCTAATGGCGGCAGCAGGTGGCTTGAGATACAGGTCTATGGACGGCGACAGCATCTGGCTTGAAATACAGATTAGAACGGGCTGAAGCAAAACTATCCAGAGTATGTCGAATAGTCGGAAAGAAAAACCCAAAGTTAAAGCGAAGCTTTACAATAGAGATATACAAATGTTGCATATAGTATATAATTTTTTCAGCCTTGCACAGGTTATAATAGTGCACTCTCTTTTTTTTAAAATATATGTCATGATACCTTGTCCCTTTTTGTGCTTTTTCCATCTTCTTCCTTTTACAATAGAATCAGATTTAGAACATACTATTCTTAATATGTTTTTTTTTTTTTCTTTTCTTTTTGTCTCTTTCTTTCCTAAATTTTGTTTTTCTTTGGTAAATTTGGCATATAGTATTCCCTTATAGAAAACTAAGAGATAAACTATTCTGCCCGGATCTAGGCGGGAAAAGTTTTTAAGAAGGGATGGGTAGTTATGACGGGCTAGTAGATCCCGGCCGGTGATTTGTGAACTCTAAATCTGAGGTAGATTTAGATAAGCAAGGAGGTTGCTTCTGCTCTGGCATGTCACACATAGATCCAAATGGAAACTGGGTGAATCGCACTTTAGTACAAAGCAGCATAGCTGTAGTGGTAAATTCAAATGTAACATCTATATTTAAGTAATAAAGTTGTAGTATGACTGCTTGTTTGCAAAAAAAAAAATAAATAAATAATTAATTATATTTTTGATTATTAAGCTATTAAACCAAATAAACTATAACAAAACTAATTAAAACTAATCAAAAATAAACCTACAGTATAACAAATACAAAAACTAAATAAAACTAAATACAATTTAAACAAGAAAATTACTACAAATTATTAGTGGTGTTCAACATCAGTATAGTTTTTGCTAAAATTCAAAGTTAAAGTAAAGCCTGAAATATATAGAAAGGTTATACAATATTAGATTATACAAGGTTTTGGAATCCTACAGTACTTAATAGGTTTTTGAGATATAGCAACATCGGTGATAATTACCAGTGGTAATAAATATATATAATAGTAAACTTCTTTAAACAAAACTATAAAACTATATAATGCAAATTTAAATACAGTACAAAAAAAAAAGATAAAAATAAAATTGTAAATCCAAATATCAGTATATACTTGTAATATACTGTATATTAAAGTAATAAAGAATGATTAACAGAAAAATTAACAAAATTTTATTTTTTGTATATTTTTGTATTTAATTTTATTTTACCATCAATGCTTTTAGAGATGTTTATCACAAATTAATATTGCAGTGCCCGGTAAGAGAATAAGTCAAGCACTGTTATTTCGGTTCAGAATAAATAGTCGAGATACTAATGTGACTGCACTCTCGACACTAAAATTTTTACGTATGGAACTTTATGGGGTTCAAAGTTAGGTAAAAAAATTTTTACGTATTACGCAACTGACATTTTGAAAATTGAGATCTAATTCTAACACCAATGTTATTTTGTAGTAGAGTATATAGTTACGCAACAACATTTTGAAGACGTTAGCTGCGCAACGACACTTATCATACACTAATACTTTTATTACATTTAAAATAAACTTAGAATTTTATATTTTTAAAACTGATCTTGTGTTTATATGTGCACCATGGTGCAGGTGCATCAAATTATAAAATCCTAAAATTCTATGCTTCCAATTGAATGCCCACACCAAATCTTGATGTGTTCTGCTAACAGCGGCCAACAATCGACATAGCAAATGGACATCGAATTAGCCAGTAAAATGGTTTTAGGTTTAGAGAAAAAAGTGAATAGCTAGTAAAATGGTTTTAGGTTGAGAGAAAAAAGTGAATAGCTATACCTTCATATGTTCAATATCACCAGTGATTAGAAAACTTAGTGCTGGTGTTATTTTTTGTTCTATTACAACACATACGCGACCTGAAGTGTCCACCTGAAAGCATATAATGAGGCTTAGATCATAAACAATTACATTATCGTCTGTAAAATAGATATTAAAAACATCATACTTGGCCTCTAAGCGTCGACGTCCGAAAATCAAATTTACCACCCTTGAAAACAATTCAACAATTAGCATCGGCTTGGTTGGCTGCTGGACAAAGCGAGACTAACACCATATCAGCTACATACTACTGTGCATAAAGCATCTCTTCGTTCTCTTCCCACAAGAATTTGAAGTTCTGTCCCAAACTCCACTTTTTCGTTAATCTTTTGGAAGTACGAAGCTTGTATGGTGCCGATTTCTTGCCATTGTACTGTTGCGATATAATTTTTTCCACTATATTTTGCGACCAAGGACTTGAAACATTCTTCACTGTCTGGCGTAGGTTTCTGATATACAGTTTCAACACCCAAGGCAAGCTTCTGCGTTACAGATTGGATATAACTTAAAATATAGATACCAGTATTTTCAACTGGTGATGGATTAATGGTTTTATAATTAATGGAATAATCCGACCCCTGGTAGTCCTGTTCTAATTGAAGCATTGAATGTCCCGGTACTGATGTTATCTTAATAATAATATTTACCAAATTCAAGAAATTTTTAAATGATGTATAAATTATTTCTTGAAAATAATAAAATAATAATAATAATAATAATAAATAAATTAAGGATCTATTCATACATGAGCTTGGATTTTGGTCACATTTTTTGCATTCCATGCATAATTCATACGCGCCGCTAAAGTTCCATCTGTGTCAATAGTGCCATGAAGGAAGGACTATTTATGTATTATTGAATACAAAAACTTTTTATAAGGACTAATTGACTCGCAATTTATCAAAATGAAAATAATAAATATAATATATGCTTACTTTTGTACCAATGTAAGCAGCGCCAAAGTTATACATCGGTGGTGCTAAAGCCGAACCCATGGTGAAGGAATGCGTGACTTGTAAATTTGGTGATAAAACTCTGGTGAGATCGGCCCTCCCTCCATCGAATAATTGGTTTGTAAGGAATGTTGCTGCAATGGGAAAATAAAACGAACAGCTATTTCTAAGAATTCTTGCTTAGTAACACGCGTATCCACTTTGAATTATCTGCATATGTTTGCCGGAGTCCGGTAGTTTTATTTTAAATGCTATCAACTGATTTTTTCAACATTTATATTTGTTGTTTGTTCGTACCTTTGACCTCACGGTGTAGACCTTCAAAAGTACCTGGATTGGGTAAATTAAGCTTCTCTCTGTATTCTGATATTCCATTAAGAAGTGAACTTAAACTCCATGACGTGGAAGGAGTTGACTTTGATAAAACTTTTTCACCCAAACCGGCCATCACTGAAAAATGGTCACGCGTCGTCTTTCAAAGGTCAGAGACCAAGACAAAATACCGATGGATAAAATTTTCAAAAAAATTTTATCGTTGTGTTACCAGATCCGTATGTATGTATATCGTATCTACTAATACTGCATATAAACAGAAACTGGTTTCTTACATTTGAAATATTTTGCATACGCGTTTCATTAGGAAGACAGATTTTTGAATCTTTAAATTAATCAATTTATAATTTATGTATAAAAATACACCATACAATAAAAAACTCCAATCTAGTGGAATTAAATAAAGTTTTTATATTTAATAGAAATCACACACGCCTAATTTTTTGGTTTTTAAATCGTTAATGTCTTAAATTAAATATCAGATTAAAGTGAAAGATGCTAAAAATACGGGATATAAAAGAGTTACGGATTGCGTCAGAAACAAATGTACAATGAAATGTAACAAAAAGTGAGGATGAAATGATATTTAAGTAAACTCTATCAAAACAAATATAGTCCAACATCTTTGTCCTATATTACTACCCATTATAAGGTGCAGGATCTATAAAATGATCATAATTCCTCGGACTCCTTGGGCTTTCATAATTCCTCGGACTCCTTGGGCTTTGATAATTCCTTGGGCTTTGATAATACCCCGGGCTCCTTGGGCTTTCGTAATTTCTCGAGCTTGGTGAACCGGGATACATTCGTTGTACTGGTGCAGATCGCGGCATGTTATTGTACGTATTTGGTGGTGAATTTATTTGACCATATTGATAGCCTGGTGAACGTGAACCATTATTTGCTTGATCACGCGGATTAAGGTAACGTTCGTTATTGGGCGAAGAGCCATTATATGGTGCTGGATCAACCCATCCTGCGCTATTATCGTTATTATAATGACTGTTTCCTATAGCGAATGTATCATCTGGAGGCATTGAATGGACACGTGTTCTGAATTTACTATTTCGTCTTTTAGATCTATAAAGACATTGGGCGCAACTAAAATGATTTGGATAAAAGTTAATATGTGCTGTTTACAATTTGAATATATATAACAAAATTAATCAGCCTACCATAATAGTATAAGTATAGCTAAAATTATAACAATAGGAATTACTATACGTTTGTTTTTATCTATCCAAGTTGAAATGGTATTGCCTATAAAATATATGTATATATAGATATTCATTATAGTCGATAAAAAATATTACTGTATAGTTGGATCAAATACATATATATATATATATATATACCAATTGAGCCAGTTGCACATGTTCCATTAGAACACATTCCACCAAATCCACAAGGAGTACCGTCGACAAAATTTCCACTCAATTCAAGGCATGAGGTTGTATCATTCGGATTAGCACAGCTAATAGTACATGACGTAGATGGCATTGAACATGCTTTCGTAATTCCCATACGAGAACCACGTGTAGCACATTGTTGGTCCCTTGATGTACATAGGCCATTAGCACATTGAAGACCGTTGTTACCACATGATGTACCATCTGCAATATGCGAATCTGGCGGACAATCCCCAGAATTTCCAGGACAAACTTCCGCAATATCACAAGAGGAAACCGAAGGTCTGCAAGTCGTATTGGCTGATTTATAAGTACAATTTTTGCAACATAGATCATTCATATCACTATGAAAAGAAATAATATTAATATGCGGTATATAATAAAATATGTATAGGTTGCCAAAGAAACGAACTACTTACTCGCACTGTGCGCCATTCTTAAATTTACAAGTTGGCCCATTACAACAAGGATCTGTTGCGCAATCAGTGCCACCTACATATTTGAAATTAAAATAAATTAACTAATGTAATAAAAAAAGTAATCTAATAAAAGAATTTATTTACTCACAGTCACAATCTTCTCCTGCTTCTTTCAGTCCATTTCCACACATAGCAATAGTGAGAATGGTTTTTGAAGCTGTAGCTGGATCTAAGAATTTCATAGATTTTAGTTTTTTGATAAAGCATTTGAAAGATACTAATACATGAATCACGTAAGACATAGCAACCTTGGAGACAAGTGCCGATATTTGGAAATGTGCTACAGATGTCAGTGATTGAACATGGACTATAAAATAATAAGTGGATTAATTTTCTATCAACACTAGGAAAGGTTCGTTAGTATTATCATAGCATACCTGAAATCATTCGTGACCACATTACTTGTTGGATTCATAATGTACTGTCCACCAGCATCACAAGTTGTTTGACTCAATGGACAACAAGCGCAGGGATCGTTGACACTAGCGCATGGGCATGTGGTTGAAGTGCAATCATGATATGCACCTAGATAATTATAAACATCTAAGCAAATTGTCGATACTCTTGTAAAAATTATGTTATGAAATTTAGTTACCGAAACCATGCCCAATTTCATGTGCAACTACTTTCCATTCGTCTTTAACAATTGTAGATACACCAGCTCCTGAAACATAGGCCTGGCCAGAAGTACCTAAAAGTGATAAACCGCAAATGATTTTAATGAGGTGCATATATAAAATAAATAAAAAAATTGTTACTCACCATTGCTTTGTGCACTTGCAGAAGTTTGACATAACTGCCCTAGCCAAGCAATACCAACTTTTGTTCCAGTACTTTTTTAAAGAAAAGACCAAAAGATGATAAATATTTCATAAATATATACATTATATGAATCGCACCCTATATAAATCAGGTACACTCACTTGCATTTTGACAATAGATGCCATAATGCTGCGCCATCATTCCCTATAAATAAGAAAATACCACAAAAAGTTAAAATTTGCCGCTTTTATTTATTTTATTTATTTGTTTATTTACCTTTGGTACCTCTCCATTGACTAAAATCACTCAATCTATCGCTTATGCCATACGAATCTGAACAATTTCTATTCCACGCTGGACTAGGAGTTGAAGGACAAGTTGCGTTTTGGATCTCGATATAGATTAAACCAAGGGTGACGTTAAAAGTTCTTTCATAAACAGCAGATGCAGTTCCCCAATCACTAAGAATTTGTTGTCGGGCCGCATCTGTTGATTGATAGCTTTGAACTATCAAACATATTTAAGTAAGTTATTTGATAAATAAATAGAAAAAAAAGAGATCTCGTTTGAACTTGACAATTAGCCACTAACCATAAGTACAATCAGCGGCCGCACCCTAAATTCATGAAAAAATTGACGTTTAAAAATAAATTATAAAAAATAAATAAATAAATAAATAAATACCATGTATGCTATTCTTCTTGCAGTAGGGCATCCTGTTGCATCTCTTTTTGACAATTTATGTCTAGATACAGTATTACTCGTTCGAACGTTAAAACCGAGATTGAACAACCAGTTATCATTTTCTACTTTATTATCATCATTTATTCCAAATGTCCAAGGATCACTATATCTTAAATACTTGCTACGTGACCGATTCCAATTACTTATTTGTTCGTCCATTCCACATGACCATATCCGATCATCACCATTATTGGATGATTTTATATCAGAATCACGATAAATGACCATGGTAGCATCACGATGATTAGGATGACGAGAGGACGGATTTGGTATTTCCGGATCATCACGAAATTGAGCTACTCGAAAATTGTCTATGGATTTTATATGGTGAAGGTCACCTTTATAAGAAAAAGAACCTTCAAATGTCAAATGTTTTTTGTTTAAACTATATAAAAAAGTAAAAAGACATTAATTCAATAGTTCTACCCTATTTAACACAAAATAGTTAGGAATTATGCGTACCTTCCATCATTTAGAACAATTATCCTCGCCCACCCAAGAACACCTGGTGAAGTAGAAAGCTCTTCATGTAAATTGAGCCTTTTAAGGCCCACAATATCTTCGCTTAATCTTCTATCAGTGGAGTCAACGTCCAGCAAGACTCCTTTATATAGTCTGTAATCTTGAGGCAATAGCTTTGTAACAGTGCTAGTATTATTACCATGATGTATAGTAAGTGTGGCTTCAGGGTGAAATAAATCTGTATTGGGTTCAAGATGAATGTTAAATGTTCTATTGAAGGAGACGAATTTTAATCGAAGGGAGTCGTCGTGCTGCAATGAAGTGTCAACTTCCAAATCTCTACGACTTAGTGACGTAGTATCAAGTCTATTCCTATATAATATTTCTATACAAGGGTTACCAACGAATTCTAAATATGTTATAGGCATAGACGCATGGCTAGAAGCTGATTACATATGAAAAGATAGAGTTAGTGAAGTCATTTAAGTTTGCAAAGACTAAGTTAGCAAAGACATTGAGTGGCAAGAGAGTCAGTCATTTATGACCGAGTTTACTTTATGCCCTCAAACAAGTTATATACCTTTGACACATTGTATTATTGCAAGCAACGAAACGATAAAATAAAAGAGTAAGCGAGACGAGGAGGTAGTTACCTCCATGTTTATTAATAATAAATAAGAAAATTTATGATATACACTGGTTCATATATATAATAAATAATGAACGAAATTCTCGACAGAGAAGTTGGTTATATAGAATATTACCACTTACAGACAAGACGAAGATATTATTAATTATTAAAACTATACTCTGAGGAGAAATGGTTCCGATAAATTGCAATTAATAGGACTAATACATAATTAGTCACACAGTTAAAATAATGTTTGAAAGGCTCGCTTCTATTTTTGTACCAAATTTTTTTAAATATAATCAATGCAATAGTCTTTTCTGGAAGCATTAGTAAATAACTCTATAAAAAGCTAATTTAATTATATTATTACAGGTATGTCAGGTACCGGTATGTCACGTTGATTAGTATGACATATAGATATTACTTTATTTTTGTACTTTTGCGTTCAATGAACTTCAGTGTAGCACAAATATTTACTGTATTTGAGTAATATAAATTATATAGTGATTCTGGGGCACTTTGTAAATTGTTATTTTGTTATTGGGGGTACAGGTAAAAACAAATTAGGTCCTAAAATTAAGAAACATACCATTATTTTATTTGCTAAAAAGGAAAGCGGCCTATGCTTTACTTCCTTTTAGGCTATTAAAGATTGTTAGTTCTCCGTCAAATCTCATCAAATCGTTATATTACAATAATATGTACGTAGCAAAGTGCTGAAGTGTTAGAAATTTGGTTATTGTTATTAATTGTTATTAATATGATTGGTAAATCTTAATATAATCACGTGCTTTAGGCATCACATATGTATATAAATAGTATTTTAAAAGCTAATTGTCACGCAGGGCATAAAGGCATTCGGCATTGTATGCAGTAGTACAATAAAGTATGTGATATTTTAGTAGGAGATAGTAGGAGATAGTGGGATAGTATAGTGACAATATATGTGACTATATCATGTGATCATGTGGTCTTATTAATTACTCTTTTGATATGATCTCACGTTTGTTTACTTATTAGTCCCCCCTGACTTTCTCCACGACTGCAGCTACTAAAGGCACTAAATTAATCAAAGAAAGCTGACCATATTAACAGTTTGTCAGTATTTCTTATTTATTGCTGCTCGCTCGCTGTTTTTCTTCATATATTAAAGGTAATTTTTATGCCGGATCGTTGATTTTAAGAGTCTGTAATAAAATCGCCATAATATATCGATTTTCACTAAAGCCACCGACACTTTAGTGGTAAACGGGTATAGTTTCTACTGTAAACAACTTTCGTGTTAAACTTTGTTCTTGAAAGGATAATAAAAAAAAAAATTGACCAACAAATGACACGAAATAAATCTGAGGAAGAAATGGTAGACGAGCTCGGTAACCAGTTCTTGAACTATGACGAAGAAGAAAGTGGTGCTACTGGTGTAGAAGGTAGTACTACAAATAACGCTGATAAAAATACTGACTCAACGACTGCGGATAAAGCGGATCAAAAAGTTGCTGTAGAAAAAGACCAAACTGAGAAACAACCTGAAGAACATTCAGGACAGGAGCCTGCTAACGGTGATAGTAAAAAAGAAGGCGATAAAGATGAGGATGAAGATAAAGAAGAGGAGGAAATCTATGAAGTCGAAGAAGTTCTTCAACATAAAGAAAAAAGAGTATTTATTGATCAACTTGAATTTTACAGTAATTGATTTAATTTTTAATTCTCTCTAATTTGACTGTTTTATTATTTTTATTTTATTTTATTTTTAGGGTGTTAAATACTATCTAATCAAATGGAAAGGTATATATATTTTTAATAAGATTATATAATTTATTTATTATTTATTTATTTATGTTTTTTTTTTTTTATTGTATTTTATTTTAATTAAAAAAGGTTTTGGCGAAGATGACTGTACCTGGGAGGCTGAATCCAATGTGTATGAATTATTGATATAAATGCAATCGCTGTGATTTATTGCACCTTAATTTTGACTTTACATAAATTCCTAAAATGAAAGCTACGCGGATGATCTTGTTGAAGAATATTGGACGAAGAAAAAAGACGAGGAGGAAACTGCATCAGCGTCAAAAACTAAGGGTAGAAAGAGAGCTGCCCAACCATCATCACCTATTACGAAGCAAGATTCCAAAAGACAACGAAGTTCAAAGAAAACAAAATCGCCAAGATCTAAGATGGAAGAAGATGAGTTTGATGAAGATTGGGAAAATCAGGTTATTGCAGTTGAAACTGTCACACGCGATGATAAAACCGGAGAATTATTGGTATATCTAAAATGGTATATATATATTTATTTATTTATTTGTTTAATAATTTATGATATTCTATTTCAAGTAATAATAAACAAAACTTTAAATGAAATTCAGGAAAAATGGTGAAACGTCCAGGCATCCAGCAAAAGATGCAAACGCAAGATGTCCCCAGAAGGTATCGTCTGATTCTCTTAACATTTTCAATTGTGTATACTTACGTACCTCTAATAATGTTTTAAATAATATAGATGATTAAATTTTATGAACAACGTTTGACATTTGCACCTCCCGCGAACCATAACAAAACTTAATTTTGATGAAAACAAGCATTTTTAATTGCTTTTAGACATAGGAGATTAAAGCTTCTGTTTTGCACTGTTTCAAGAAATCTAAAAAAAAACAAAAAAAAAGATAAAATGCTTTATTTTTTTTTCACATTAAACCAAGAATGTAAATAGAATATTTGATATTAGCGTTCCAAACTTATTGTTAGTTTTTTCATAGGATTTTATATATATTTTTTTTTTCGTGGTGAGTATCACAGCTTGTTGCATTATCTTTGATTTTGAGAAAACACATTACAATAACGTATATAAATGAGAATGCGTAGTACTGATTAATAAAAAATATATTCAGTTTAAAATGACGTTTATTTTATTTGGTTTATACATGAAATAGAGTTTGGAACCAGTTCTTATGTGTTGAACCCGGTTTCACAGGGGTCCTTTGAGGCCGAGTCCTGACCGATCCTTAAAAGGATTTGGTCCTTAAGTCACATGAAAACATAATAACGTATCGAATTTAGATTCTTGATCGAATTATTTAACGATACGGAATTAGATTGATTGGACAAACCTATTCGGAAGAGGATCTAAATTCAGTATGTTTTCATGTGATTTAAGAACTTGAGTCCGGGATGGTCCTAGGACCGGATCGGACCAGACCAACTTTAGAACCCAATCGTAGTGATTGGGTTGGAACCTTGATATTTGGATATTGATATGTGATATGAACGTAATTCACCAATCGAAACTATAATTTTATCGTTTACTATTTTCGATTAAAAAAATTGTTGATAACGATGATCAATACTGCAATAACGATAATTGATAAATATCACCATTCATTTCAAGTAATTGTATTTGTACAACTTTTTCAAGCTCCAATATGTCA